AAGATTTTATTTATTTATTTACTTAGAGAGAGAGTTTGTGAGCAGGGGGAGGGGCAGAGGGAGAGAAAAACTCAAGCAGACTCCCCGCTGAGCATGGAGCCAGATGTGGGGCTCAATCCCATGACCCTCGGGATCACAACCTAAGCCAAAATCAAGAGGAACTATGGCCCCAGGTGGGTTGGCAGGAAGGGTGCCCCTATATCCCTCGCTTAGTGCCTGGCAGAGCCCCATGAGCATGCATGGCACAGCGGCCAGCCAGGGCCCAGGTCCTAAGAAGAGAGGATGGGAGGCAGGGAAAGGCAGGTGCAGAATGTGAAGCTCACCTCAGGGCTGCACTTGCCTCCTGTGTGAGCAGTGTGCACAGGGGACAAGCAGCCTGCCAGGAGGGGACAGGCTGAATTCTCTCCCTATAGTAATTGAACGAATCTGAGGTCTGGGTGGCCCTGTGTACATGCAGACATCTTTGTTGGCTTGTCCCACTACTGTCCCATCTCTCTCCCCTCTCATTTTCTCTCCCTCCTTCTTGAGTTTCTTTCTCTTCCTTGACCTTGCTGGCCTCCTTATTTCTTGTGCACGTGTTCCCTCCTTCCCTCCTGCCTCCTCCCTTTCCACCACTCTGACAGACTGTATCAGCGAATCCCTCAACAGAGTCATATCTAACTTTTTTATTCATTGCATGATTTATTTTTAGCCTGAAACAACTGCATCCTAAAAATGGAGTTCCTGATGAGACAGGGGCTGGGCCAAGCTATGCGAGGTATCTGGGGCTTGGCCACTCAGCCTGGCCCTCAGTCTCCGCACGCATGTGTCCTGAGCCCACGAGTACTGCTAGTTGGAGCCCAGGCGGTGGGGAGTCAGTCCTCGGGCCCAGGAGAGACAGAGGGGAGGGACCAAATCCGCCTCTCTGCTCCTACTTCTCTCAACCAGTCCCCTGAGAGTCTTCCAGCCGCTTTCCCGTACTCAGTTTTCCTGGGAAAGTAAAACTAAACTTTTCCCAGATGAAGAGAACGCATCTGTTCATCGTGGGGGTCTACCTGCTGTCCTCCTGCCGGGCAGAAGAGGGGCTCAACTTCCCCACGTATGACGGCAAGGACCGCGTGGTAAGTCTCACCGAGAAGAACTTCAAGCAGGTTTTGAAGAAATACAGCGTGCTCTGCCTATACTACCACGAGTCCGTGTCTTCAGACAAAGTCGCACAGAAACAGTTCCAACTGAAAGAAATTGTGCTCGAGGTAAGCAGGGGGCCTGCTGACTACATTGTCCCAGCGAGCACGGGCTGCCCAGCGGCTGGGATGTGGGAACGCGGGTGCGGAGACTCTGTCCTGAAGTCTGGCTGCATTTTAGTCTGGTTTGAATCTGAAGATATTCTTGTTGCAAAGCTGGGCTGTGGGAAGAGCAAAGAGTGGGTCCCGGCTCCGAAAATGGGGCCAATTAGACGTGTTGTACAAGGCACGGTTCTGATTTAAACTCTGTCACATGATGGTCCTCTTGACTTTTCAAGGGCAATAGTCCCAAGCAACTATTTTTCTGAGATAATGTTAAAGCTGTCATTGAAAAGCCTGGCTGAAATGCAATTCAGAGATGATTTGTGGGTTTCAGCCATTGTGCTAACTGCCCCCCTCTGCTCCCTGAAGTTTCCCCACAATCCTGGAGAGACAGGAGGCATTTGACCTTGCTTCTCTCCATGGGTCAGATGGGGAATATCACAGAGTGATCTTCGCCTCTTGTGATTTGGGGTCAGTCAACATTGCACAGTGTACATGTGTGAAGATCTATAGCTGCATGCTAATTAATGGGGATTTTTTTTTTTTTTCCTCAGAAAGTTCTTGGTGTGTGTTCAGGGCAATGCTGAAGTCAGTTCTTATTTTATCTGCATTACATGTTCTGTTTGTAAGCCTGGCACGGGGCCCCGTTCTCTAATCCTTGGTGAATGCCCCAAGGCTGATTGCCGCAGCGCCTCCTGGACAGTGTAAGTTTGCTTACACTTCAGGAGCACCTGTAAATGCCAGGAATTCTAGTAGTCACCAAGATGCCTTCTCAGCCCCATGCTCAACCCAGGCATAAACCTGGGGACAGGGCTATTTGAAAATCACAGCCGCTTATTAACTAGCACATCAGAAAGCTCAGCTTGATCAAATACTTTGATTGACAGTTACCATATATCAAACACATGTAGATTTGAATCCCCCCCTCCAAAATAGATTCTAATAAATTCCATGAAAGCCATCTGAAATACAGTAAAATATCTTGATAATTTAAAAAGTACTTCAGAATCCTAAGTGTCTCCTGATCATCATACAAACACCTATTTTCAGAGCTCTTCTGTATGGTGGCGTGGTTTTTACAGAGAGCTTGGGTTGACAAAGAGCTAAGCATTTTAAAAATATCACCACTACCATCATATTTTCCCTCAGGCTTATCCTGGGGGCTGGAAGTGGAAATTCAGTTCCCTCTGTGGGTTGCAAGCAAAGATAAAGCATAGATCTTTGTACTATATGTGGGAACATCAGAGGCTGGAAAAAACCAAGGCGTATAGCACAGCTGCTGCTTAGCCCCTGAAATCCTCACTCACATCATCATCTCTGTTTCAAACTGCCCTACTCAGTTATTGAGAGACATTATTCTGAAAAAGAGTTCATTGAAGTCATAAGGATTCTACCCTATATGCTCATCACTGTCTGGTAGCCTAGAACTCAAAAAGAATGCCAATACAATAATGACCTCCCATTTCTGATTCCCCAGCATATTAAAACACATGCACACACACACACATACATGCACAAACATACACTTGCACACACATACATACACACTCCCTCAAGAACGTATCTCCCCCAAAGACCTCGGGCCAAGTAGACCTGAGAAGGGACTTTCCCCTGGGCTCACCATCCCTTCAGACACCTTTGATCCAAGAGTGCCCGGCAGAGACCGATGGGACATAGGTGATGTCCCACAGGCTGTTAAAACTGAAGTGGACAGGGCACCTGGGTGGCTCAGTCGTTAAGCGTCTGGGTCCTGGGATCGAGCCCCGCATTGGGCTCCCTGCTCCACGGGAAGCCTGCTTCTCCCTCTCCCACTCCCCCTGCTTGTGTTCCCTCTCTCGCTCTCTCGCTCTCTGTCAAATAAGTAAATAAAATCTTTAACAACAACAACAACAAAAAACTGAAGTGGACATCATTAGGGGGAGAAAGACACAGAACTTGGAGTCAGGAGATCTAGATTTCTATTCTGGCTCTGCCTTTCCTGGGCACATGATATAGGGTAGGTTACTTAATTTCTCTGAGTCTCTTATCTATAAATAGGGAAACAATAATCATCGTATACGTGTAAGAAATAATTAAATAGTAATAATATTTATTGGATGTTTACTGTGTACAGAGACTGTTCTAAGCACTTTGGGTATGTTAGTGTGTTGAATCCTTACGGTATTTCTATGATATAGGCATAGTTCCTATCCCCATTTTACAGAGGGGGACCCTGAGGCACAGAGAGGGTAAGTTGTCCAGGGTTACTCAACTAGTGCAGGTGAAGGCGGTCTTAGCCCCTGCATTGCAATACTGCTGTAACCAAATGAGGTGATGTTTAGTTAGCTGCTAGATACCCTGTTGAAGATCCTTTATGGAAGAAGGGCAAACAAAAAGCTACAGTGCAAGGGAGTCATTGTAATAGTAGAGCAACTACTAAGGTTCTCTGAGAGCACAAAGAGCAAAAGCCCAGCTCTCTGGCAGAGATGTGGAAGGCATGACAAGGAAGAACTGATTTGTGACAATGAGTAGAATTCACCAGGCAATAAGCAACGGCTGGGGAAGGAACTGTAAGAGCAAGGATTCTGAGAGCACTCAAGTATTTCCCTACCAAATTTTCCTAAAATTTGACCATGAGGGCCTCATTCCTATAGGGTAGGATTTTTGTCCCTACTTGGTTAGGGCCCTATCGGCAAGTCCTTTAAAATGTTCCCAAACACTTGTACCTGCATCTGACCAAGTTTGAGTTCTGAGTAAGAACAAGGTTTGATAAGCGGAAGGGAAGTAGGGAAAGAATGTAAGGTCACTAAAAGCTTAGGCAGAAAAAGGGCTAATAAAATGACACCAGGAGGCATCAAGCTCAAACTGCTGTCCAGTTTGGCTGGGTTCTAGCTCTGGAAGGCACCAGGGGTGATGCAGGGTACATAGTTTGGTGGAGGTGTTCTATAGAGGCTTGCTGAATGAATGACATGTCAGATGAAATGTTGTCTTTGAGAACCATCTAGGTTGTTCTGAACTCTTTACTTCAGAGCTGTGGCTTTGTAGTGATAGGACTCAAGCAGCTGGTAATCCCGATTCCTGGTTGGGCATTTCATCCACAAAATAGCACATACTCACTGAGAAATGTCAGAGTACATGGAAAAGGAAAAGAAAAAGAAAGGCAATAGAAATAGATCCAGAAAGAAACACAGTTCATGTCCTGAGAGATTTCTCGCCCATATTTTCTGTTTATATATAAACATACATTTTTCAATGGGTTTGTACCATTTATACGGTTTTGTTTCCTGCTTTTTTCATGTCAATATATTGTGAGTATTCCTGTGTCATTACAGAGTTTTGTATTCTTGACAAACATAATGTTAATGCTGGCCTAGCATTCCATTGTATGACCATGCATATTTTTTTTTGAAGATTTTATTTATTTTTTTGACAGAGAGAGACATAGCGAGAGCAGGAACACAAGCAGGGGGAGTGGGAGAGGGAGAAGCAGGCTTCCCGCAGAGCAGGGAGCCCGATGTGGGACTCGATCCCAGGACCCTGGGATCATGACCTGAGCCGAGGGCAGACGCTTAACGACTGAGCCACCCAGGCGCCCGACCATGCATATTTTTAAGACAATTAGCCTATTTTGGGATGTTGACACAATTTTCAGAGTTTTAAAAATCTTTGTTTAGATTTCCGTTGTATAGTTTTAATGGAAATTCTTTGCCTTTTTTTTAGCTAGATGGGATTTTTTTCCATAAAATTATCTGCCACTTACATTTTTTTCTCCCATGAATTATTTTTCTGTGCCTTTCCCCCAGTTTTCTATTGAGGTGTCAATACCATTATAAAGTGAGTTGCAATTTTTTTTTAAAGATTTTTTATTTATTTATTTGAGACAGAGAGAATGAGAGACAGAGAGCATGAGAGGGAG